AAAAAAAAAAAAAAAAAAAAAAAAAAAAAAAAACGGAAGAAAGAGAAAGAATAGCATAAACCAACCTATTTCGAAACAGGTACTATTTTCTCTATGATTCGTGGTAAAATATCCAAGATAAATGGTACTAAGAAGAATCCCTAAATTCTTTTTCTGACACCACCACCCCGTCAGAAATCTGTCCCTTCGCCTAGGTTACATAAAACGTGTATCACAGTGTATCTTTGTCTAATGATTATATCATCACTATATATATTTGTTGAAAATATGTATCATCAGTATATCTTTGTTAACCATGTGTATTATCAGTATATCCTCATTGAGAATGTGTATCATCATTATATCTTTATTGCACATTGCTGTGAACTATGGTAAACCTAACTACAGTGTTTACCTGATAACCTAATAGACCAATGTGTTTAAAGCTTTACATAACACTATGGTCCTGCCATCTATCGCCGAGTTAGAATATTACTAGAGTTCGTAACAATTTCGATCCAGACATAGTGTAGCGGATAGTGTGCCAAGATACGTATTCAAAAGCCCGGGTTTGAAACAGCGATAAACAGCTGAGCACGCTCCGCACTTTCGAGTGCGGTAGCGTTATAACAGTGACAGTCAGCCCCAATATTCCTTTTGTTAAGAGTAGAAGCTTTAGCAAAACAGATGCTACTGATTGGTTGCCTTCTCTCTCTCTCTCTGGTCAGCAGTTCGAAATTAGTGATAGCTGTGCTTGTAATACAACAAGGAAACAGACAATAAATATTGAAGGAGGATATTACGGTGACGTACCTTGCTAAATAACACCAAAAAACTGATATGATTTACTATTGGGTATTTCCGACCCTGACCGACACCCTATAGACACATGGGTCAAAAAGGGAAACTCCGAAACACAAAGCATGCTCTTATGAGTAACAAACTGTTTGATTTTAATAACCAATGACGCGTATAACTTTTGAACAATCTTTGTACGTTTATCTTGCATTTGACCGTAACATTATAACGTCCCCATGGTTGAAAGGGCGAGCATGTTCGCAGATTGCGAGTCGAGCGCCCTAGCCGCCAGGCAAAAATTAATTCCAGAGGGGGGGGGCGAAAAGTAGTGTGAAATTGTGAATTGAATAAA